TTTGGTTTTTTTCTTCTTTCATCTCTATCACTTACTTCCCATTTCCTTGGATAAGTTACAATTATTCCACGAAAAATAATAGTGTTCTTATACTTACAAAAAAATACTGCATAAACTAGTAAGATAGAAAATCATATAATTTTCCTGCTTATAAAAATACAAACCGTCAGCATAATTTCATTCATTAATGCAGTAAGTGTAAGAGTTAACTTTTGAGTGTAAGCTTACTTCTCAACATTCCCAGTAGTGATATAGCTCTCAATTATTTCATAACGCTTGTTCACATGAGATTCAAATAGCCAGATACCTAAGAGCCAAAGCTGAGGTGAGGTCTTACTAACACTCAGTTGATGAACAGGCGATCACTGACAAAGCAGTGGTATCCGTGGATATTATTTTTAATCTCCGATGGCTTCTTCACTCACGAAAGGCTAAGAGAAGCTGCTGTAAGACGTTGGAAGTGCTTTCCAGTCGCCCAACAAGAGCGCAGGGCGGCTTTCAGGCGCAGTCAACACTGTGCTCTAATCTTCGGCGTGTAAATTATTCATCACGCGTAGGCCACTCATGGCGGACACAGCTGTGAAACTCTCTGGGCTCTCTCTCTTTCCTCTGGACATCTGGAAGCTGGCTTGTCCTCCTCATTGGGTCCTGACGGTCTTCTCTGTCCCGGGGAGTCCGGGATCTGTGATGGGGCTGGGTCATCAGAGGCCTCGCCTCCCGTCAGCCTGAGCAGGAGAGGGCTGTTGGTGTTTGTAATCCTGGTCCATGCCGTCTGGGCTAGACTCCAACCTTCGAAGGCCTGATAAAATGACCGTTTTTAGCTAGTGGATTCAATTAATTATGCCAATCGTCTCTTTGACTAGACCTTCCCAATTGTATGCATTTTTCTCTCCTCAATGTATAGTTCCCAAAACAGAAATTATCTGTGTTTACCACATAACAATACAGGTCTGGGCAAAAGTAGGCTTACAGCTGTGAGTACATGAAACACAGAGATAATAAAGGCACTGTAATAATCAGAACCTTACATCTATTCTTCTATTGGAACAACTGTAAGCCTACGTCCCCCCCCCCATAATCAACCTTATTACAGGATTTCCATAATTTTCCATAACAAAGCCTTATGCCTTTACAGTGTTTTACAGTTTACACAGCACTTGCACTTAATCATCTCACTCGCCTCTGAAACAAACAGGATAGTTAATTAACTCAATTTTCATCATGAAGCTATAAAGGTTCAGAGAACTAGAATGGCAAATGGCATCCAGGGCCAGCAAGAGTTCTGACTATGGCTTCTGACCCAGACAGGACCTCAGAGGAGAGGTGCTTCCTAATACCGATGGTCAGAGGGCCAGAGCCCAGTGACACCACATCATAAGTACTGCACACTCCAAACTGTGTTAAGGAGCTCGAATACACACAACAACAATAAAATGAGGCAATTATCTGGATAGTTCAGCCTGAGGCCCTCCCCTTAGCACCCAAATCCTGCTTATTTAAATTAGAGTCCTAAAGAAAATATTGCTCCCTTCAGTTACTATCAGATTTTCTGGTCTTAATGCCTAACAGGCACTTGCCAAAGGACAACCTACTGGCATTAACAAGGTAATGTATCAGACATTGTTTTTGAGGTCACTTCATATTTCTCAATGCTCCCCAATCTCTCTCTCCCTCTCTCCCTCACACACACACACACACACACACACACACACACACACACACAAATACACAGACAGGCACATGTCCTTTTCAGTTAAACTCTGAGCCAGTACAAGTTAGCATAACAATGAAAAAGTGTCAGAATGTCACACACTCCGGCTGTCTTGTTTCTGCTTGAAAAATTGCCCCTGGAATTATACTTTACATGCCTGGCCAATCGCAGCCTCACATAACTCCCATTTTGCTCAAGGGCTTCCCCCTCCTCTGACACAATTTCAGTGACACTCAGAAGTGATGCTGTTACTCCTTTCTTGCTCTTTTGATGATGATGATGATTAGTCAGCTAACACCTTATTAGTTTGCCCTGCCAAGCTTTCATACACCACTGTAGATGCACACAATATACATTATCAATAATTTTAAAATAACTTGCTATATATTTAAGATCAAATAAATGTCACACACTAACAGAAAGTAAGGTTCCTTATCTATTAATTGTCATATACGTTGCATGTAACCAAAAAGAGCTTGGAGTAAGTTGAGGCTTTCTATCACTCAACTTTAATTAGATCAACTGTAAATAGACCTTTAAATAGCGATTCAGGGACAATTAGGGTAACAAAGACAGTTTGTAAGTCAGTAGAGATCACTTGAAAATTTGAAGGTTATGTACAACTAGTGCTTAAAAAGGAAAAAACTTAAACTAGATGTTTTTTGCCTCTTGAACTATATTTACCTTAATTTGCTTTGAGCTTCTTTGGGCTTTACATTTGAATATATTTGCTGTAGGTTTCTTTGGGCATGTGGACCATAACACAGCAATCACCCATACCTTGTATAACTACACCGCTCACATGAGAATAATTGCGGAAGGCTGCTAATCATCCAGTGCAGTAAATGTAATTGTGCATGAAGTTAAAATAACTGAAAACATTCTCAGAGGGCAGTGACAAGGCAGCTATCATCACTGAAACATTACTACTGCCTGTCAGGTAGTTACCTAACCACAACTACAGTGAGCCTCCAACTGAGCTTCACATCAAAGGAAAACGTTTCCAGGGTTCATCTAGGAAATCCATCTACTCGTCTCCACATAGCTCAGCTGTTGTTGTCTCCCTTTTAATTTTGGTCTGCAGCTGACCCTGGAGAATTGCCTTAACATACGACTGAATTGTGCACCCAGAATGATAACTTAGGCTTGATCTGTGGAAGTCCACTTTCTTGGTAGGATTTCATGTTCATACTTGTTACGGTGGCTTGAAATTATTCAATAACATGTTAGAATAGGAGCTTCTGTCATTGGTGGGGTGTCTTCTGTGTTCCTATCTGTTGCCTGTGGAAGTGGCCTTCTTGAGATGTCATGAAAAATAATTTTCTGAGACACACACAGGAAAACAAGTGGCATTTATTTCTGTGGACTTAAACCCGTGAGTTTCCAAGGTCCTCTCTCCTTCTGTCCTTCCATGGAAAAAGTCCTGCTGTGTCTCCAGCAGAGCTAGGATTAAGTCATTGTCTAGAGTTTCTGCTCTGTATTTGCACAGTTTAGTCCAGCATCAGGTTAGCTTAGCTTGTGATTCCAGCTGCAGTCCATTGTGTGTGGGTTCTGCATGACCACGTAGCTTCTAGGGCCACATGGCTATAGAGGGAAACAGATGAGTGCAAGAAAGAAAAAGCAAAGCCAAAGGAATAGGAGAGAGCAAATTCCTTTTGTCAGGGGATTATGTATTTCCAGATTTTCCCAGGCTTGCATTGGCTCCACACACACTAGCCAATTATCTCTGTCCCCAGGGTTGACTGATATGCACCTTCCCTACGTCACACCTACTTCACTGTGCACCCACTCATCTTCCCCTTTGTCCAGTCCCTTCCCCCAGTCATCTGTAGGAAATGAACCCATGGTGGTTCCCTGGGGTGTGAAATTGCAGCTTCCTGGTGAAGCTATCCAAATGACTATGCTTATAATGTCTGGCCTTCCCTTTGTCTTCTTCCTATTAATAATAATTAGCTAATTTCAACAGTAACACTTGGGCATATTTCCTTGACATGGTCAGTAACAAGTGAAATGGAAAATTTTTTTAGACGTTAAATCATTCAAAACCTGCATTACTTTGTGCAGATTGAGTTTCTACTGGTGGCCCCAAATGAACAAAGGGAAACATGTAAATTTACTGACTTTCTGTACTATCGTCTACACTTAAAATTCTTAAACCATTACTTCCCATACTGAACTGGACTCTCTTCCTTTCTTCTTGTAGTTCCAAGGATTTGATACCAGGAAATCACTAGCACATGCATCTTTATTTAGTAGCAGGATAGAGCAAACATTCCTTCCATGCCACTGTTTGATATTCTGTTCATTTATACTGTATTTACAATCATGAAAGCTCCTTTTATAAAGTAATTTAAGCAGTGGAGCGTGGGCGAAAATTTAACAACTGGTTCTCCCAAAGAAAACAGATGGTGTTTGCTGATTTCCATAGTGATTTAAATGCGACTACCAAGGCTGACTTCAACCAACCAAACTGGTGTCACCAGAAGTGGATTTGGGAAGAGATGGCATCATTGGTCCCTGGGAGTTGGTTCTAGCCGGCACTGGTACACAGTGGAAGTTTACTGACTAGATAAGAGGTATTCATTTAACTGTTTTTGGAGAAGCTCTTGACCTGTTTTAAAATTGATTTTTTATCAATTAAATCTTCTAGTCTGTGGTTTTAAAACACAGCCCATCTCTCACCTATTATACCAGATAATCATATACAGCATCAGATATCCGAAGCAAAAAGGACACTAAAATAAATTCATCATCATTACAGTTAAATTTAGCTATAGAACTTCCTATAAATGCCATCATTTTTCCAGTAATCTCAAACTTTAAAAAAAAACAACACTGAATCAATTTCAATACTGTATTGATATAATCTTTCACACATAAAATGGCAATTGGGTATATGCAAGAATTTTAAATCTTTATTTAAATTTGAGTCTTTTCCCAATATATTACTGGCAAATATGAAAAAAAAATTAAAAACCAAGAAAATATATTCTTTAAAAGGAAAGAAAGCAAGGTGAATAATGATACGCCTTTTCTAAAATACATTCAAACCTCCACTAAGTGGTATGTGCAACAATCAGCAGTTTTGACATCACCCAAATGTACTAAAAAACTATTTCATCTTCCTGCAGACGAGGGCATGATTACAGACCTGTTTTCGCAGCACCTTGCTGATTCAATACCTACATGATTCCTACACCACACTGTGATTTTATTGAAAAGGGTACAAGTGTACTAGCTTTTTTTTTTTTCTCCTTAAATTTCAAAAACTTACATATGTGACTGAAAGTAATGAACAGGATCTTTTATTCTGTTATAAAACTGGTTTTGCATATGTATGTATATTAATACAGCAAGAAGCATATCTATCTAGTCATGAGACAGTGTCTACAAAACATTATTCAAGAGGAAAGGACTGTTTGTGGATAATCCAACTCATTGAATTGTTTATTTTGATGAAGCTGAAGGCCACTTTCACATCATTTCTAACAGTGGGGCTGCAAGTTGACACAATCCTACAGTATCTCCTCCTGTCATCAAACTGCAGAGATTCTACTTCCAGTGTTTGTCCTTCAGAAAGAAACATGTTTAGAACATAATTCCTTATACAGTGTCCACTTCACTCTCTATAGATTTATCAGGAACCCAACAATACTGTCTAAAACAAGAAAATTTAAAAAAAATCCATTCTTACTTGAATTATATGCACATTAAACTAGTACTGTTCTAGGGGAAAAAAAGGTAGACATATTATTTTCGTCATAAAATTCTTTTTTCAGAAGCCCATCACAAACTTAAACACACGTGATCCCTTGAAAAAACTCTCACTTTGGCACATCTAAAACCAGGACAGAGATCACACAACGCAAGGTCTATTCTTGTGGGATGTATTTGCATTGGAATTTAAAGGTGGGTTTTGAAATTTATAACATGACATTAAGACATATTTTAAAAAAACAGCCATTTGCTCCGTATGTTTTCAGCAAAAGAGGTGGGATAAAACAAATTCTCAAGTCTTTGGAGCATATAGAACTCATGACCTCGAAAAATAAATCTTGCATCAAAGGAACTCTTAATTCTCTCTGAAATCTTTCTAAAATACAAATATTTTATTCCACTGTTTTGTACACTCCAGTGGTTCAGACCAACGACTCATGTCCTCATAGCTGTGCTCCTCTCTGAGAAGCTTCATTGCTCTATGTTTTCTCCATTTCCATGCTTCATTCCCTTCGTGGAGCTAAGACTGGAGAAAAGTCACCGTGTTCTGACGAGCTCAATACTATGAGGCAGTAAAATGGACCTGAACTGAGTGGAGATAGGAGTCCAAAATAAATATAAGACCATGTGTCAAATAAGAAAGAAGAGATAGTCTCCTGTACAAATCAGAAGAGGTAATAAAAAAATCGACAAATAGACAGCAACTTTTTCTTTATACCTACACAAGCATCTCGAAACGACTGCACACTTTAAGAATGATTTAGCTTTATCTTATTTGGAACACTTCATATTTATTTGCTAAACAATGGTGTATGTTGCCTGAAACCCAATTTCATTGGCTTGTACTGGAGGATTGGGGAGGATTTTTCTAAGAATTTGTATTTTGCTAAATAAAATATATTTGCTAACCCAGAGCAATAAAATTCTGCCGGGTTCTCTAATCTAGCAAGCTTCAAGCGTCACTGTGAATGAACTCCGTCCCACGTCTGGATACCGGCAGGGCCCTGAAGGCGCGTCCGGGGCTCCGGGGCTCCCCCGCGACGCAGGGCCCTGCTCACTCACAGAGGGTAGGTGCCTTTGCAGGTATCTGAGAGTTGCTATCTATTCACAAGCCGCCGAGCATTTCTTTTTATCAAAAGCTTTCAAATGCTCAGCGCCTGTGGTCAGTGCGGTCCTTGGAGCCATCTCCTGAGCGTCCACTCCCCGAGGCAGGAACCCGTCGGTCGGAAACGGAGACGTATTTACAGCCGCTTGCTCCGGCGGGCGGGGCTCGTGCTGGCCGCTGGCCGCTGGCCGCTCGGCCCCGGCTCCTCTTCAGTCCTCGGCACCCTTCCGGCGGCCTCCGGGGCTGGGGCTAGGAGTACAGGCCCTCCTGGCCCGTGCCGTACATGTCGGCCAGGCGTTTGAAGCGGGGCCCCCAGTCACTCAGGTAGTCGTAGTTCTGCTCCGAGCTGGAGCTGATGGACTCCAGGGAGCTGAGGGACTCGGCCACCGAGCCGCTGCCCTCAAAGGCGTAGGTCTGCAGGGAGTCATAGGGGGGCGCGCAGGGGTCCGCATCGGCCTCCTTCAGCCGCTCCCAGATAAACTCCCGGAAGATGACATTGTCCGGGACGCTCTTAAAGGCCGGGCGGCTCAGGAACTGAATTTCGGGGGTCACGTCCCTGCGGGTCTTGGTGTCCCTGATGACGTTGAGGTTCCTCAGGGCGGCCATGTCAAAGGCCTCCGTGTCCTCCTCGCCGCCACCCTCGTCGTCGTAGCGGACGATGTTCTCCCGGATGTCTCGCTCTTCGTCGAAAATGAGGGGCTCCTTTTTCCGCCTTCTCATGGTGACGATCAGGAGGATGAGCACTGGGACAAGGAGACAGCAAAGGGACAGTTTCAGTCAAGCGGGGCTCGGGTGTGACGCAGACCCTGCCCTTTCGGGGACGTGTCCCGGCTGCCCGCCCAGTGGGAACTCAGAGCCGACCAGTGAATTTGCTCAGGTGCCTTGAAAACGGACACTTCGGGCCATCGACAGGGAGCGTTTTCCGCACCCGATCGATCGGAGTGGGAGTGGGAGCGGGAGCCGGGGCCGAGCCTCCCTCTTTAACAGCCGCCCCAGCAGCGGTGGCGAGAGCAAGGTGCGGGCCCCCTGCGCTCCGTAACTGCTGACCGGCAGTGACATCCACAGAGGCGGGGCGATAATGCAGCAGCTGCGATTTCAGGGGGAGCTGGATCACAGCACTTGGGCAGGTCCTTTGAACAAATGCCCGGCACTCGCCTCTGCAACGCGGCGGGCCAGGCTGTGCACACGGAGGCAAAGCTCCGCAGCGAAGGGGGCCCGCTCCTCGGGGGCAATGTTGAGCTCGGTCTTTACACCGAGAGAGTAGAGGTGGTGAGTTTCAGCATTAGCTAAAGGTATCTTAAGAAATCAAGCACCCCTTTAACATCAGGAATATTGCTTCTTATATCGAAATGAATAATTAGGTCATAAAGCACACACGGGTGTACTGGAAAGCAAAGGAGCAAGTGCCCTGGCCACGTCCTAATCAGGTGGCGCCTGCTCTGGCTCAGGTGAATGAATACCTGCAGGACTGTGACACTAGATTTCAGGCCCCTGGGTTAAGTTAAAGTGAAGTAGAAAAATTTGGAACTTAAAAATATATAAGGCAGTGAATTATCATTAATTATCTGTCTACAAATAATACATCTTTTTAAACAACTTTTATTACATCAGCCCAATTTTTTCAGGAAGATCTAAAAGGCCCAAAGGGTTATTACTCTCAGCATATGTTTTTTAAAAAGTTTGAAATACTTATATTTAAAATATCTTGTAAGGTGTTACTTTGGCAATGAAGAATACATTTGAAAATAAAAATGTAAAAACCAGGAAAAAGGGTATCAGAGTAACTGAATGCAACGTTTAGGGGGTAAGACAGTTCTATCACCCTCCTTAACCAGCTTTAAAAAAATCAAAGCTCTAACCTCTATGTATTTAATTAAAAATTTGATTTTATTATCTTATGGGAAAAGAATATGTGTTCTTAAGTATTTGTCTGCTACCAAACAACAGGGATGTGAGTGGGGAAGACATTTTATTAGAGCTCTTTGGAAATAGTTGTGAAACCAACTGTTTATTGTGACTCTCTTTATTTTGTTTTTCCCACCTCACCCTGACCTACTGCTCACACACAAGCTTTACTGACAGCCTACAATTTAGACACTGAGATATGTTTCTGAGCTTTTCTGACCACCTTCTCATGCTGCTATGGCCCAAACCTGCCTATTTTCTTTTTGGCTCCTATTTACTGCATTTGGATGTTCTCAACTGGCTTCATCAAAATGTCAGGTATGTAGCTCAAGAGCTTGTGTACAGTTCATTCCTCCATCTGGTCCCATAAGCAGTCTGGTTCTCACCTCCCTTCCCGCCTCCTGAGAATTCTCATTTCCACTGCAAACCTTGTGGTCCTCAAGGCCCATGGCAGAGCTGCAGCTCCATTACAACTCTACTTAACATTCTGCCATGGGCCTTACACCAATAGGAAGCTTTGGCGTTGAGAAGGCTTTGGCTAAAACTCCAGTCTTCCCGCACGTTAGATGTGTGATCCTGGACACGTAACTTAAACCAAGGGAGCCTGGCTATCCATGATAATTATAGGCTACTTCAGTGTTCACAGGATGGATCAGAGAGGCAAAGAGACTGGGGAATGCCAGGCACTTGGGCAACAGAGAGATTTTCATTGTGAAACAATTCAAAATTCCATGAACACAACAAGTGAAGACATCGTTATTTCTTCTTTGATCAAAGAAAAGCCAACAAGATTAGTTAATGAGTGAAGCAGGCAGTGTAACAAATGTGTGACAAGGTATGTGAACCAAAGATTAAATGGGAGAGAGAAAAGGCAGTAAGGTGAGAAATGAAGGTCTACACACAGGGCACACTGCTTGACACTTATGGCAACTTTGTGAGGTATTTTTATATGCGATGGTCGTCTTAGACACGTGAAAAGCCTGTTTGTGGTCAACGTAATAAAACGCAGTAATCAGGGGTGAGACATAACTGCCCCATTCCACCTGGACAGCTCAAGAGGCAATTCTTGTTCAGAGAAAGACACATCAGTAAGTTTTAAGACATATGAATGAATAAAATAACTTTAGTCTCTGAAACTTTTTACATAGTTCCCCAAAGATAAAAGTAATTGCCTCAGAAGGAAAGTGGGACCAAATAAGATTTCTTACTGAGGAATTAGATAGAATAAGACATAAAGGGAGGTGAGTATCCAAGAGGATCATGATGGGTAGACAGGTGGAGGCAGGTGAAAATGAGAAATCTGTTACACATATTAGGGAGAAAAGTTTGGGTGCCAAAGGATGTAAGACGTGAATGGGCATAAAAGTGAATGAAGATATGAAGAGGGTAAGAAGAGTTATAATTAGATGCTCTTTTAGTTTAAGTCAGTGTCAAAGTAGGCAAAACGTTTCAAAATTCTCAGTTCTTTTCTTCATGTAATTACAATGAATCATGTAATCATGTCTCTCTCTCTTTCTCACACACACACACGTTTGATCCTTGAACAACTGTACAGATCCACTTATAAGTGGATTTTTAATTTTTTAATTCAGTTATGGGTGACATTATATTAGCTTCACTGTGCAAAAACTTTTTAGTTCGATGTAGTCTCATTTGTTTATTTTTTCCTTTGTTTCCTTTGCCTAAAGAGAAATATATATAAAAAAAATACTGCTAAGAGTGATGTCAAATAGTTTACTGCCTGTGGTTTCTTCTAGGAGTCTTATGGTTTCAGTTCTTACATTCATCTTTAATCCATTGTGAGTTTATATTCATATATGATGTAAAAAAGTAATCCAGCTTTGTGTTTCTGCATGTATCAGCCCAGTAATCCCAACAGCATTTATTGAAGAGACCCTCTTTACCCTCTTGTATATTCTTGCTTCCTTTGTCACAGACTGACCATAAGGTGTGCGTTTATTTTAGGGCTCTCTGTTCTGCAACACTGACCTATTTGCTTGTTTTTATGCCAGTAGCATGCTGTTCTGATTACTATATCCTTGCACTATAGTTTGCTATCGGGTAGTGTGATACCTCCAACTTTGTTGTTCTTTCTCAATATTGCTTTGGCTATTCTGGTGTCTTCTGTGGTTCTGTGTAAGTTTTAGGATTATTTCTTCTAGTTCTGTGAAAAATGCCAGTGGCATTTTTTATAGGGATTGCACTGAATCTGTACACTGCTTTGGTAGTACGGGAGATTTGACAATGTTAATTCTCTGCATCCATAAGTGTAGTATACGCCTTCCACAATTCCTCTAAGTTTTATAACTCCTTGGTTGAATTTATTCTTAAATATTTTATTCTTTTTGATGCAACTGTCAATGGGATTATTTCCTTAATTTCTCTGATAGTTCATTATTGGTGTATAAACATGCAACAGATTTCTGAAACTAATTTTGCATCCTGCTACTTTGCCCAATTCCTTTATTAACGCGAATAGTGTTCTTGTAGATTCCTTAGGGATCTCTATATACAGTAGCATAGATGTATCAGCTTATAGGTAAAATACACATTAAGGACATTGATATCTTACGGAATTTACCTTATTTCTCAATCTTGCCCAAAGCTGAAAAAATGTGAAGTGTTTAACATTTCAATGACTTGGGAGAGTATTTTTTTCTCAATGCTTGAGCACATATAAAAACAAATTTTAACCTTTATGTAGAATTAGTATTAACTGCTCTTCAGCATCTACAGAGATAATCCCTGTATTAAATAGATATTTCCTGCCAAAGTAAGTCTAAGATTGTATAGTGTAAGTGCCTTTATCACTCACCTGTCTTCTCTGTCACATGGACTATAGTTGTGAGTAGAGGCTGAGGAAAGAGCAGGTCTAGTTGAAGTCTAGACATGCGGCGCCTGTTCTGTGCTGGCTGATGGTGGGTTTACACACCCATTTTACAAACATGTGTTAACCATTTAGCATATGCATTAGGTAGGACGATATAATGTTGCACAGAGGAGCACCAGTAATACATTTCCTCATGGACTTACAATTAAATGGGGCAGATACAGATTCATTAAAGACCGTTAAATGTAATTTTCTAAGAGAGGAATGTGATCTTTTCAAGACAGATATTGAGGAAAAGAGGTCCAGACAAAGGAGATGTAACTATGGGCTGGGATGGGGGTGCAGACATGATACGGGATTATTCTTGGCACAGTCAACCAATAAGCAAAGGTTTGAAGCCAGCGCGGCTGGAGAGCAGAACCAAAGAAGAGATATAGCACCAGAAAGAGCCCGCAGGCCCAAGAACCAACATATTTTAAGGAGGGCATGGTTTGATCAAATTTGTTTTTTGGAAAAAAAACCATCTGGTTGGACTGAGGTTAGGAAGAGGGGAAGAGTAGATGTTAGAAAAACAATTAGGATGCCATTGCAGCAGTCAAAGCATAATGTTGACCTAATTTTCTGGTTTAGAATTCCGATTCATAATATTCAAGTCAGTGTTTTCTGAGTATCCCCATATGTAGGAAATAGTGCTGGGTACTGGCAAAATCGTAACGGGAGGATCCCTGCGTCCACACAGCTCCAATCCTGACGCCGTTCCCGTGAGAAGGCGCAGAGGTGCACAGGTATAAAGCAGCACGCAGGCCGGAGAGCGGCGCTCCCCCAGGCTGAGGAAAACGTAAGGCGCACGCCCTACGATCCATTAGTGGGCCCTTTATTCTCAGCTTCTCCGAGGTCGGTAACAGACCCATATCCAGATCTATAAGCTGGACCATGGTTCTCGCTTGTTCATCTTTAAAGCATTTCAGTCCTGCTTCCCTAACAGGCTTCCCAGAGGTTAACCACGGC